CCGGTCTCCCTTCTCCCTCTCCATCCCCGCGGCCTGCGCCTCTAACCACCCCTGTGCCGCAGAGTCTCCTGGACATGATGGTCTTGGAGGAGCAGAGCCTGAAGGAGCGTCTGTTGAAGAGCATCGCCATGTGTCGGAAGGAGCTTGACACCCTCTGCAGGGAGCTCCAGCTGGACCCCTTCGAGGTGAGGTGTTGCTTTTTACTCCTAGGATCCGGCTGGCATCAGTCTTCTGCTGCTTGGCCTCTGCCCAGGTGTCTCGGTGAGGCTGGAGCTCAGAAGACCTGTTCAAAACCACTTTTCCTGAGGCTCAGTAGAGCCAAAGCCTTTGTGGCCCCTTGCGGGTTGGGCGCAGGCAGATGTTTGTGAGGAGGCCCGGTGTCTCGCAGCATCTCTTCTTGTGTAGTGCTGCTGTGTTTGCACCTTCCTGGGGAACATCTTGTTCGGAACTTGGGCTTACATCCCAGATCGTTGTTTAAGAAGCCTTAGACGTGTGAGTCAGGCCTGTGAGAGCTGTGGAGAAGAGGGCTGATTTCTGGGTTTTTCTAGGCAGAGGAACAAAGTACCATTCTGCAGATGGAGAAGGATTTGCGTGCCCGTGTGGAAGTGATGTTAAAGCAGAAAAGGGACAGGAAGCAGGAGCTGAAAACCCTGCAAGAGCGAGATCAAGACTTGTGCGACATCCTCTGCACAACCCCATTCTGCATTGACAGCAATGCTGTGCCCAGCCTGGAGGACCTGGATCGTTACAGGCGCCACTTGGCTGCCCTGACCACTGAGAAGGTACGCAGAGAGGGGGCATGGAGCTTGCCAAGGGTAGCACGCGAGGTGCTCGCTGGTTTCTAAGGGTGCTTTGTCACCTCCAGGAGCAAAGGCGAGAACAGTTTGTCAACAGCAAGCGGCAAATCATCCTCCTCATGGAGGAGCTGGACCACACTCCAGACACAAGCTTTGAGCAGGACGTGGTGTGTGAGGATGAGGAAGCCTTCTGTCTGTCTGAGGAGAACATTGCTGCTCTCCAGAATCTGCTGCAGCAGGTACGTTGGCACACTGAGGCAGCGTTGCTATGATTGCTGGGGCTGTGGAGGCTGTCAATGGGTCCTGGCAGAAGCTGGCAGTGCGATGTAAAGAGCCACTGCTTGGTTCCCAGCAAGCCTGTGTGTTGGAACATCCTTGCGGGAGCTTTTGCAAGGAGATCTTGGAAGACGAGCGAGTGGCTGTGCTAGGTGCAGTAGAGCAAATGGCCGACATGTGCCCCTCGGGGCCGGGCTGCACCGGTGCTGACCCTCTGCTCTCCCTCCTGTAGCTGGAAGCCCGGCGAGCCCTGAACGAAGCTGTGTGCACAGAGCTGCGCTCCAGAATCATTGCGCTTTGGGAAAGGCTGCAGGTTCCTGTGGAGGAGAGAGAGTCTTCTGCAGTGCACATGACGGGGTCGAGAGCCAAAACCAGGAAAGCTGTAAGGACCCTCCTGTGCCCTTGGAGGGGTGGGGGTGGGGAGCAGCAGCTCTGGGTTTCACACTCCCGTTGGCTCAGCCAGAGTGGAGGAGCTGCTTCCCGCAGTCAGGCGTGAGGGGAGCAGGCCAAATCCTGCCCTCCCGGGTGGAGGAGATGAGAGTCGGTGCTGGCAGCTGCCTCATCTTAGAAAGGGACTTATGCAGGAGATAAATCCTGTTCTGCTTCTTTTCTTCTCACTCTGCCTTCTCTGAGTCTCTGCTCTGATCTCGTTGGCAGCTGCAGTTGGAAGTGGACCGTCTGGAGGAGCTGAAGCTGCAGAACATGAAATCTGTGGTTCAGGCAATCCGGGCAGAGCTGGCTGACTACTGGGACAAGTGCTTCTACAGTCAGGAGCAGAGGGAAGGCTTCAGTCCCTATTACGATGGTGGGTGCCGGCTCTTCCCGCTCACTGACCCCCCTGTGGGAGCTGCAGGCTGCCTGCTGGCAGACCAGCTGCTGAGGAGGGCTGCCCTCAGCTCACGGGGGCCTGGGGGCCTCCTGAGGTGTTGCCTCCTGACCATGCTGTTGTACCCTCTCCAGAGGACTATACAGAGACCCTGCTCGAGCTCCATGATGCTGAGGTGGGGAAGATGAAGAGCTACTATGAGACACACAAAGATCTGTTTGAGGGTGTCCAGAAATGGGAGGAGAACTGGAAGCAGTTCCTGGAGCTGGAGGTATTGTCTGGGCAGGACCGTGCTCTGCATGGCCCAGCATTGGGTCACTGGGCAGTGCGCACCTCCTCCGCTCCTGTGTGCAAAGTGCCGTTGGGAAAGATCAGGGAGGCACTAGGAAACCACAGTGGGTCAGTGAGGGGGTGCGGCGCTGTATCTAGAGCGCTGGTGTGGTTTGGGATGGGGGCTGCAATGGCTTCTCCAGGGGCTGCATCCCATGGGGCATGTGTTGGGCTGTGAGACTGGGTGGTGTGTTTGGTTCTCTCCTGACCTCCCTCCTGTCCCAGAGGAAAGCCACTGACCCCAGTCGCTACACCAACCGTGGGGGGAATCTGCTGAAAGAAGAGAAGCAGCGAGCAAAGCTGCAGAAGATGCTTTCCAAGGTAGGTTCAGCCCTGGAGAAGATGTAGTCCTGGATCGGCCTACATGTCGCTGACCGAGGAGAAGGGCAGCACTTGGAGCCAGCAAGGGCTATCTCTGGGCATGGAGATGCCCACACAGCCTCTCTGCACTGCTCTTGTGTCCTCATCAGCTGCAGGAGGAGCTGGAGAGCAGGGTCCAGGCCTGGGAGCAGGAGCAGGAGGGGGCTTTCCTGGTGAAGGGGCAGCAGTTCATGGAGTACGTGAGGGAGCAGTGGCAGCTGTACCGCCTGGAGAAAGAGAAGGAGAAACAGGAGCGGGTGAGTGCAAGACCAAGCGTGCTGCCTCCTGGCTTGGAGAAGTCTCTGCTGCGTTGAACGCCAGCCTGGCGGTGACCCTGCGCTGTACGGGTGGGGGAACTGTCCCAGCCGCTGCCTGGGGCTCTCTGTCTTCTCACTCTCTGCCTGGAAGTGGCTCTGCATGCAGTCACCTTTCTTTGACAGCGGGACTGGCACCCATTGCTATCGGTGTCTGTGTGTGTTGATCCCCTTCCTCAGTCTCTGCTTGACCCTGGATACCTGTAACTGTTGAAATACTGCTTGGCCGTGCCATAGACTGTCCGTAGGGCATTGTCTGCTGGCAGAAGCTTGCCCTTCCCCTGGCAGCAAGTGGCGAGCAGGCACTCCGCAGCTCTGCGCAGCCGCCTCTGCGCTGCTCCTCTGCTCGGGTTTGTAAGTGCAGATCTCTCGCACAGCACCTGAAGAAAAGCCGCCAGATTGAGGCAGAGATGATGTACGGAAGCACCCCACGGACACCCGTCAAGCGCCGGGTGCTCGGCCCCCACACGCCTGGCAAAGTAAGGAAGGTAAACTGTTTGTGAAGCAGCGTAGATGTGCTGGGACCCTGCTGGGAGCTGAGCACTGTCGTTAGGTTAGAGGTCCTACCTTGTTTTAGGCTGGCCTTGGTCCCACACAGAGATGCAGGGAGGGTTTGGGGCGCTGCGGCAGCGTGGTGGAAGCAGGGAAGGGCTCAGGCCATGGGCACCTCTGCTCTTCTGGGGACAACCGGCCTCTTGCACTGTGGTGCTCTGGAGGCAGAAGGCTCTGTGCAGCTGGGACTTCCACCTTGGTTTCTCTAGCGCGATGCAGCCGCTGCACCCTCCCCATGTGACGTGTGTTCTGCTTTTTCCCTCAGCTCAACGGCACTTCCATCTCCAGCGCTACACCCAACAGCACCGTTCGTTCAGCTTTTGGGGGAACCATCTACCACTCACCAACGTCTCGGTTGCCACCTTCTGGAGGGAAGGTAGGAGCTTTCCAGCAGGGTGGGCTGGGGAAGATGGGTGAGCTGGGATGGCACAGCTCTGACTGCTCTCTGTGCTTTGCTGCCTCCCCTGCCAAGCTCCTGGGGTGAAAAGCCCCTGTTGGTCCGTAGTCTGCTGTGTTGGTCTGCCACAATCCTGGCAGGATACTGCTGCAACCCGAGGGAGGAGAAGGGTAGTAGCAGCGCTCAGGAAATCTTCCTCCAGCCCAGATTTCTAGCATAACTCTTCCTCTGTGCTGAGCCTGCAGCTTGGGGGACCTTCAAGACGGGGGTGTGATGCTGTATGTTTCCAGGATCAGAATTTTGCCCCTAGGCTCTGCAGGGCTCCTGGAGCTTGAAATTACTCTGGCACTGCAGAGCGACAGGCAGCAGCTCTCGCACAGCTCTACTGGATTCGTGTGTCCCATCTAACTGTCACTTCTTCCCGTAGTTTGGCCAGGCTCGGACTCCCAACTGCGCGGCTGCGAAGCCCCGCCGTCCCGGACACAGGGAGCAGAACAAGGAGAACGTGTCCCAGCTGAACGGAACCACCCTGAGCGGTGGGTGCACCCCTACAGCCCCTGCCCAGCGTAACCACAGCGTTAGTTCTGTTGCCAGCACCTATTCTGAGTTTGCGGTAATTCACCTCTTCTAAACCCACCTCCCCTCGCTGGGCAGCACAGGGGCTGGGCTCCCCCCTCCCGGAGCACCCCAAGGGGCGCAGCTCTGCACAGCCCTCCCGCTGTCCCTGCGCAGAGTGGCTGTTCCTGCCAGCGCCCGCGGCAGCAGATCTGTCGTTGGCTTTACAGCAAGAACTTAACATTGAGGTTTGGTGGCTGAGGCCCAAGCGTTGCTCGCGTCACGCAGAGGCCCTGAGCGACCCAGTGGGGAACAGACACAAACACAAGAGAAACCCTGATGGCGGGGGCGCCTCCCAGCCCCACGCAGGGGCAAAGCCGTACGCGGCCCATGCTCCCTGGAGCAGCCCCGCTGCGGCAATGCAGCCACTCTCCCGAGGTGGGTCTGTCTCCCGCTGCTCGAGCAAAGTCTCCCACCCGCCCCTGAGGTCCAAGTCACTCGATGCAGTGTGTCCTGGGGGTGGTGATGCTCCTCAGCCTTTCCAGGGGCTGCACTGCTGTGGCCTGGGCAGCTGGCAGCAGCAGCGCTCTGTCGCTGTCCTATAACCCACCCAGTGGGAGGGGAGGGAGGGTCTCCCCACCCCCCCCAGGCGGGGGCAGCCTTTTCCTGCTGCCTGCGTGCACTCATCAGACACAGGCTCACCTGGGATGCTGCCTGCTGTCCCTCCCTGAGCTGAGCCTGCAAAGGGACCTCAGCATCTGTCCCACCTTTTCCACTGCTCTCTCTACAGCGTGCTGGGTGAGCCAAGGCTGGGGAGCTGCTCTCTGCTGACGGATGGTGCCTTGCCCTCGCTGGCTGGCTGGAGGTCCCTTAGTGGCCTCTGCCCTTCCATCAGGATGGGCTGAGCCCAAGCTTTAACGCCTTCTGACACTAGAAAGCCACGAGCATCCCTTCCTTGTGGCAGCTAAGCCTGTGTGTGGAGTGCCCTGTGTGCCCTGGCTTTCTGGCAGCCGGGCTGTGAGCCCAGGCTTGTGCGCAGCCTTGGGGCAGGAACGCTGCCGGTTTGTCATGGAGGCACGTTCCTGCTCGGTGCTCCTCTCCTCCAGCAGCTGGGCACGGCTGTCCCTGTCCTGTTTCCCTTCCCTTCACTCGGCGGCAGCCTGTTTGCTTTCTGCTGATCTGGCAGAGTGCTTCCCAGGACAAACAGCCTGCTGCCGAGGGAGGGATGAGGTTCGCAGCCTGGGGCTGTTTGGGCAACAGGTACTCCTGTTTCTGGGAAGCCAAGGGGTTCGGAGCTCTTTCTCAGCTACTTAATGCTAACTCTTTCCTGCTTTCTTCTGAAGCAAGAGGGGGTGGGGGCCCAAACAAACAAGCAGGAGCAGCCTGGCGTGCCCTCCTCGCTGGCCTGGAGCTCTTCCTGCTTTCCCACAGCGCCATGGAGCAACAGCTCTCTCCCTGCTGCCCCATCTGTCACCTTATCCCCATCTCCCACTTCTTGTTTCTACAGCGCGAACTTTCAAAGGCTTCCAGGTCTGACAGCAGCTCCCGCGTCCTGAACTCCACCACCACCACTGCCTTCTGCTGAGGTGCTGCCTGCCGGGCTCCGGCTGCTCGTAGTCGTCGTGAGTCGCTGCTCAGGCGCAGCGTTACGCAGCTCCCCCTGCGCCAAAGCGTCCCGTGCTGTAGGGTTGACTTTTACCTGGGCCCCAGGTGTCATTCCGGCCAGCCTGGCTCTCTGTGGGGCGGGGGGTTCCTGCCTGCCAGGATAGGGTGGGAAAGGGGCATTTTTAAAAACTTGCTTTTATTTGGGGAATTCTTAAAAATGTTTGTGATTAAAGATTTGAGTACTCGGTCGCGTTAGGGTAGCGCAGCGGTGGGTGCTGGCTTCTGTTGCAGCCCGGCTGGCTGGGGTGAGCGTTGGTGCGTGGTTGCAGGGGCTCTGCCTCGCCGAGCATGCTCTGGGACAGACAGGACTTACTCTGGAGAGCTGGCCTCGGTGCCTTTTGTCATGGGCTTTTTTTCCCCTCCATATTTTTGTAGCTATCATCAGCATCTTCCAGCATCACAGTAGGCTTACTTCAGTGGGGGCTTGCTTTAGCTGAGGTCCCCTTACCGGGCTTTGTTTCACCCCAGAGCGCTGGGCTCAACCCTGCTGCAGGCTGGGCGCAGCGCTGGGGGGCTCTGGGGGGAGCAGCGGGGCTGGGGTCCTCAGGAGGGACCCGTAGGGCACTTCACAGGCAGCAACCCGACCGGGCGTCCTCCTGGAGCCCTGCTGGCAGGGAGTGCCTGAGCACACCTGAGGTGAGGTACGGTCAGCCAAAGCCCCCTTCCGTGCCATCGAGGAGGGGGCTGGCTCGTCCTACCCCCAGGACCTGCTCCATGCCGTCCAGCACTCTGCTCCATTGCTCCGGTGGAGGAGGGAGAGCTGAGAGCTTCAGCTGTAGGAGACAGCCCTGGGCACGGCTCGGGGGGCCTGGTCGCACCTCTGTTAACGAAGCTCTGTATGTATGTGTCTGTCCCTGATTATGACTAATTTGCACCTTGTTATCACTACAGTCCCCACTTGCTGTTATTTATTCTCCAGGTTCTGTCCCCTTGTTTTATAACTCTGTATATACTGTTCATGGGAATAATACGTATATGTGTATATAGCTACTGCTGTCTGTGCGTCTGTGGGGTCTTACAGCTGGGGAGGGTCCGGCACGGCTCCAGAGGGCCCCGGGGAAGCTGGGAACATTCTCTCTACGCAACACAAAGCACCGCCACAGCCCTTTTGGAAAAGTAGATGTAATAAATGTGTACAACCCTTCCCTCAGCATCAGGCACCAGCCCAACTCCAGTTCAGTGCGCTGTGGGCTAAACCCGGCCCCATCCTGTCATAGGGAGCCGCCTGCCCCCTCTGTGAGCACAGGGTGGTCCTGGGGCAGGAGCAGAGCTTGCTCGTGTCTTCCTCGGTGCAGGCAGCCGTGGTGGCGGGAGGCTTTGGGCCCCTCATGGCTCCAGCACGCAGACGTAAGTGGTCCAGGGTCCACACACCACTTCCTCCGCCTGCAGCCCCTCAGCCACCAGGTACTCGACACGGCGCGGCTGGTCAGAGCTGGCATCGTCCCTGTGTCCCAGCTGCCCGTATTTACCTGTGGACATCACAGTTGTGCCACCATGTGCCCCTGGGCCTCAGCCCTCGCAGGGCGATGGCTCCCCACGCGTTTGGGGGACTGGGAGGAAACATGAGAGCATCCCTGTACAAATGGCTCCAGCCAGGGACGCATGGCAGTGCTCTGCTATGAAACCTCACAGTGATAAAATAACTCATTACACAGGTAATAGCAGCCAAGGGTAACGAAGCAGGGAAAAAAAGCAGATCCTGGGGGTGTTGTACCATCCCAGAGCGAAGGCATCACTTACCCCAGCCCCAGGTGTAGAGCTCACCGCCTCCTGCAAAGGGGACAGCACCCATCAGCCAGAGCCGGGGGCTGACGGTCTCTGCCCCACTGGCTCCCGGTGAGCCCCGGCCCCCATCAGCCACCCCCCCCGCTCCTGGGCAGCACGGAAAGCGGAGGTGCCACCCGCAGCCCCGCCGGTGAGAGCCGGGCACTCACGTGTGATGAAAGCCGTGTGC